CTTATCAGTTGTAAATTTTACTGATACTTGTTTGTTTAGCAAGATGTCTGCAATTATTTTTACTGACACTTGCTTGATTAACAGGATGTCCATGAAACTTATCTTGTTGAATTATAACAAAAGTTCCTTATTCCCTCATACACATAAGATTTTAAGAACAAAGTTAACCCTTCTATTACAATCCCCCTTTTTTTTTTTAATAATGGTAATAATTGTATTAAAAATATATGGTTTAAACATTAGTCTTAAAATCAATAAAATAAGAGGTTTTGTAATAGTTGACAACAGAGTAATTAACCAAGGTGCATAGTTAAACATAGATTAATATTTAAAGGGTGGATGATTATTAGTTATTTTTGTGTTTGTTTTTGAAATGTCTACTTCTAAATTATTGGTATATGGAGTACATAACAATATAGAAATGCTCACTTCTAAAATTATTGGTGGAGACCTTGAGGAAGTATAACTGAGGTTCAAATTTTTTTTTTTGTTTGTTTTGTTTGTTTGGTTTTGTCTTTTTTTATTTTACAGAGTGTTAGTTTTAGTTCAGGTTTATTGAGAGGCTTGTCATTATACTTATGCACCCACTCTAGTACATCTCTGCCTCCCTTCACCTAACTCCGTTGCATGGAGCAGTGAGGTATTCTGTAATCTTCTCGGCAGCAGTCGTATTCTTCAGGGTTTATATGGCCTCTAAGTTTTAAGTTGGTTTGAAAGAGAAAAAAAAAAAAACAAAAAACCAAAAACCACACTCCCAAAGTATTACAGATAAAGTACTTCAATCATTATTGTTTGTTCCTTTTTACTTTAAAGGGTAGAATAATTTTTTTTTTTCCTTAGGTGGCACTTTATAACGTGCTTCCACCAATAATTTTATAGGTGTATATATTTTATAGATATTTTCTATGTCTTTGGGACTGATAGTTAATATTTTTTTTTTATTCTATTTAGTATATTGACAAACTATTCATCCTTTATGATTTAAATGGGGATGTTTTAAACAGGATATGTTTCTAGGTATTCTGTGAAATACAGGAATATTGGCTTTTATGTTACAACAGTGGGGCAGATGGATATGGGTTTCTATTGTTTTAAAGATTGCCCCTGATTTGAGAGGAATTATGTTTGGATGTTAAGGTATATAATGGGTTATTTGTAAAGTATATGGAGGAGGTATTTGGAATCCTTTGTACAGCAGGGGGGATGCTTTCTTAGAAATTTTGGAATGAATCATTATTTATTCACCAGTCTTTTCCTTCTCAAGATTAATTTCAGACCATCCGTAGTTCTTTCCGTAGTCCAATGGTCACTTCAGAGAGGTTCTGTCATTCGGGAGGGATGTGTCCACCTTTGCTTTGCAGTAGGGATCGCAGTCTCTGTTGTGTGCAGTTCCTGGAATGGATTCTCTCAAAAAGGGGTTAAAGATGGTTCCTTCCCAATTCCCAGGGTTTATCCTATGCATTTTGAAATTTAAGGGTGCTGTTTGGGCTAAGGTCCCCCTTTGCTTTCTTTCCAATTCTGCCACAGCTCCCTCCACTTTTATACTGAGTTTGATTAGGACATAGAAAGTACGAATACTCCCAGGCTGTGAATATGCTAGTATACAGGAATTAATATAATTAGTCTCAGTCACCACAGTGGTCTGCTGAGAGTCAGCAGCAGGCTTTAGGTCATAAACATAATTCTGTTTACTTGGGCTGTTACATCGTCTCTTTTCATTTTTAACAACATGGGTTTCAGTATAAAATAAATGCTAAAATTACTTTTTACTTTAAGGTTGTGTTTAGGAAGGAAAAAGAAAACATTTCTCTCTTTTTCTCACAATCCATAGAAATGAAACTTGATTCAGGGCAGCTGCATCTGCCCTGCCAGGCAGCCACCCCCCAGAGTTCCCTCCAGGCTAGGAACTCCCAAAAGAAATACGGTAAATAAGTTTATGGAAAAGAAACAAAAATAAAAATATATGTATTCACTATACAAACTCCAATTGTTTTCTTTTCCCTTTTTTTTTTTCTTTCAATCAAGGCCACTTCAGTCAGTTCTTTAAGATATGTTTACGTCTCATACAGGGCAATATAAACAGACCGGCAATAAACAGTCTGGAAGTTATTCTATAGGGCTAGTGAGAAGAAGAAATATTCTCCCAGTGAAACTAGGGTAGATTAGGCTTGATGCAATCAATGGGCACTCAGTTCACATACATGATGTACACAAAGTCCTCTCCCCAGGTGGAAGGGAGAATAAGCAAAGGCGATATTAATACTGAAGTTCTTGTTAAAAGTATGGTTTTCAGTACAGAATACACACAAAAATTATTTTCGTGCACATATTTCAAGATAAAAAATAATTGGTACCACTCTAGGTCTGTGAGAATATTCAAAGGCACAGACACATGCAATGAAAGCAATATCATTTTATCATTTAATACATTTATATGAACTATGATCACAATAGTTTATGATATTAACAATGGCCTTGTTACACGATTTTTAAAAATGAAGTTTTCGATAGTAAAATTAGACAATATTTTCTTATGCCACACTGGCAAATATAATCACAGACTTATTATATCAGAGTTTCTAATTTGAATTCAGATTTTTTTAATAAAAGTATTAACTAATCAATCAATTTGAAATCCCATCCTCTTTCCCTAGCTCGTCTGGAGCGGGGAAGCACTATTCTCCTCTTCTCTCTGACTTTCTCTTCTCAGTCTACTACATGCAATTCTTTCTTTCTTTTCTATTGATTCCAACACTGTTCTTATCTTTTCCTTTTAAAGATTACAAAAGTAACTTCCCTCTTCCTAAACCATGAAAACTAAAGCTGCAGACTTTTTCTTTCATCACAGCAGACACCGTTTCTTCAGTTCTCTCTCTCCCCCCTCCCTTTTCTTTTTTTCAGTTTTCGACACTGTGGTGTCAATTTTGCAACTATTTTTGTTGTTAGATTTAAACTTGTTTTATGAGAAGCTTGGTAAATTTTTCCCCTTTTTTTTTTTCGTTTCATTTATTTTAACTGCCTTTTTTTTGTTTTGTGTTTTTTTTAGTTTTATAACTTTGGGGAATTTTGATTATATATGTTTGATTAGTTTTAATATTTATTAGGATTTGTTATATTCTTCGTCCTGGGGTTTTAATTTAGTTTTATCAAGAGTTTGTTATGGTGTTTTAGTCCTAGGAATTTAATAATAAAGTCCTTGACACTTGTTATCTTTTTCAGCTTAATTAAATGGTTTTAGGTTTTTCTGGTTTTTTGGATAATTTCTTTTTAGATGATTTTTTTTTCTTACAATAAAAAACATTTTATTATTTGGACTTTCGGGCCAATTTGCTGAGGCCTGTTCATGTATACTTTTTGGGCTTCTTTCAGTAAGTTTTTGAGGCCTCTGTTTTGCCATTCACTTAATTTCTTTAGTTCTTCTTTTTTTTTTTTAATATTATTTTAGGTATGATTTATAAAGTGGATTATTAGTAATATCTGACTAGTTCGGGTGTTAGGATTATTGCTTAAATATTGTTGTAAATTTTTCTTTAGTCTTTTTAACTATGTTTTAGGTGTTTCATTTTTTTTTGTTCATTATCTAATGCTATTATATTTTGTTCATGGGGGTTAGTTACTTAAAGTCCCCAGATTAATGAAGTAGAATAATTAGTTATGTGTTGCCAATTTAGGGCTGAGTTACAGTTCCCACTGGGAGGGGCGTTGGATTGCATTTTCTCCCAGGTATAGATATTAGGTTTTAAAATTTGGTTTAACCGTTTTGTTACTCCCAAGAGGTTTTTTAATAATAAAGTTCTGACTTCTCTTGGGGTTGTCTATCTCCTTTTACGAGTTTTAGTGCTTTCAGGATTTTCACACCTCTGATCTGATAAGGCAGTGAGATCTGCAGAGGGGATGGGGGCGAAGGATGTGTAACAGGGGATTTAGCAGTGCTGTAGAAACAACAGCTGAAGGAATTTGAAGAGGAGTTTGTGCAAGGAGGGGTTAATGAGGGATTTAGCGGTGCTGGGGGGGGTAATGGGGAATTCCACTGTGCTGCGGGAACAGCGACTGAAGGAGACTGAAGAGGGGTTTGTGGAAGGGGGGGTAATGAGGGGCATGGGGGGCCATAAGGGATCTTCATTTGGGTTTTTAGGGCCTGTTAGTCCTTTTTTTTTTTTTAAGGCAAAGAGGTAACTTGGTTTTCACCTTTGGGGTATTTATAATGTTGCATAATCATTTTCCTCATGGCTGATTGGGGGTTTTTTTATTATTTATCTATGTGTTTAATTGCTGACACACCCAGTCCTCAGAAGACCCGAATACGGGTCATATAATATGGGGATTAGAGAGTGACTTCCCTTCCCAAACCTCGATATAATAATATATCATTTTTTCTTAGATTTATTCTTTTTCCTGGATGAAATATCCCAGTACTTTATCATTTGTCCTAATGGACTGTTTGGTGGTATATTCAGTAATCTATTTTGCTTTCCTGTTTTGTTTTGGTTGTGTTTTTTTTTTTTGGGGGATCCCATCCCCATGGAATCAGAGGGCTTGCTTTTCCTTCCTCTGTCCCATCTTCTAAGGTGCCTTGAAACGTACACACACTCGCTTTCTCTCGGTCGTGACTCACGCCCTCGCGGGTCACGAGAAATGCACTACAGGAGAGTCCACACTCGCTTGGTCTCGTACCGAGACCTCTCGCACAGGCACACCTTAGGATCACCTCCCCAACCAAACGGCTCACCAAAAAAGAAAACTCTATACTTACCCTTCCCTGGGGTCTTCGTTTGGCCTTTGTGCACAAAATTTAAGGGGTCTGCAGATTTTTTTTTGCTTTATTATCAAAATTTTACTGGGTTCACTGATCCAGGGTTTGGTGAGAACAGCCTTCAGAGCAGGGCTATCGGGAGATAGGGCGCCTCCCTGTTCTGCAGGAGTCCACAACAAAGCAAATTGGATCCTGGGTCACGGCACCAAAATTGTTATAAGTTAGTATAAGAATTTAGACAACTCAATTCTAATTAAACATTAATAAATTTATTAAGTAAGCGATAATAAAGCAAAACAGCACTGGGTGGCCTGGAGGGCAAGTGCCCTGCCGAGACACACACAAAATATAATAAATGTTCCTTTTTATACATTTCCAAGTCCCGAGTTTTGAATGCGGCTGAGTTGAGGCTTGAGTTCGTGGCTCATTGTTAAGTGGTCATCTGGTATTTGTCAGAGATGAAAGGTGCAGTTTCTTATCAGTTGTAAATTTTACTGATACTGATACTTGTTTTTTTAGCAAGATGTCTGCAATTATTCTTACTGACGCTTGCTTGATTAACAGGATGTCCATGAAACTTATCTTGTTGAATTATAACAAAAATTCCTTATTCCCTCATCCACATAAGATTTTATGAACAAAGTTAACCCTTCTATTACAAGTATGGTTTAGATCTTTATTAGAGAATCAGCATAATTCGTTGAAATTCAGGGACCATTGTATGTAGGAGACATGTCCCAGGGATGCTGGGTGAGGCATCCTGGGATCGGTAGTCTCCTGTGTTGTACTCTGACACACATGGTCAGAGTGAGCCCACTGTGATTGGTCAGAAGTGTCACGTGTTGCCCGAGGGTATTTAAGAGGGCTTTTTTCTGTTAATAAAACATTTGGTTGTTGGGAACCCTAACTGCCGGGTCGTGTCTTATTATATTACATTAATAAGTCACAAATGGTGCCCGAGTACAGGGCATCTCCCTGTATCAGGGAACAATTTAAAATGCCTTGAAACAAGGAAATTCAGTAGCACTCAGAAGAGATTGTATCAATTCTCTGAATGCTTTTACCTAAAAAAACGGTGGACGTCTTTAAAAGTGTCAGGACTTCAGCATCTAAAGGATGCAAAATTATCCGAGCCTGAAAAAATTGACAGTTCATGTGCCAAGAGAAAGAAAAGCAGAGGAAACCGCAGCAAAAAGTGAAGCTGCAAGGAAGCGGAGGCAGTAAGAAACCGAGAAACTGAAACTAAAACTGACAAGCCGCAAGCAAAAAAACGGCAGTGAAAGGAAGCACACAGAAGCAAAGCGTCAAGAAAAAGGTAAAGAAACATGGGAAATTCAGTCTCCCAAGAGATAGAAAGAGACACAGAAGCTCTGTATCTCTTGTTAAGATCATATTCCATAGAGATCATACAAGCAGAACTAACAGACCTTCTGCAATGGATAAAATCCAAAGCACCCTGCCTGTTGCTCATAGAAGTCTTAAATATAAACACTTGGGACAGGCTCAGAGACTTCATAAGACACAAAGCTAGAGCAGGTGACACACAAGCCAATAACTGCCTTCCTGCCTGGACTCAAATGATGAATGCTTTTTACACTGCACAGAGGTGACAGAATCCCCTCAACAAATACCAACACACATTCCCCTGCAAACTCAAACCAGGCTGCAACTCACAGCCAATTGCCACCACTCAGAAACACCCATGAGGGTGCAGGGGCCACACGAGCATCGCGGACAGATACAAACTTGGGAGGGGAGCCACGTGGGAGGGAACGGAGGGTATGTACAATAAGAAATGGTGAAAATCCCGGTTTTCATGCACACACGGTTACCAGGGAAGGGACGGGAACCATGGTTTGCGAATCCAACACCCAGGGGTAAAACATAGATTCCCACCGTGGCATGGGGGGGAAGAACCCAGCAAACTTACCCCCTCGTGCTACTGATGACTTCCAATCACGTGCATCAGTACAGGTGCCACCATCTTGCGAGCGAAACATACCAGAACCTGAGCTGTCTCTTCCGACCATGCAGCCATATTGCCCTAATGGCAGGAGCGGGGAGGAGGGAGAAACCTTTCCACCGCAGTGGTCATCTTCCACCATGCAGCTGTGGGGAGCCGAATACATCGGAGTCACGGGGGGCGAGGCATCAGAAGATGATGAGGAGGAACCGTAGGTGGTTCTTCCAGGTAAGGACGAGGGAGCAGGCACGGGGAGGTTTATTGACCAGTGGAGTAAGTGCCGAGAGGAGGCTATACGGATGACAGATTGGCAGGCCCAGTAATCTATCGACCTTGCCAGAACCCTGAATTTCAAAGTTTTCCCTATGAGGTAATAAAGGAATTGAGACAAATAGTTAAAGAGTCTGGCGTTTCCTCAACTCACACATTTTCATATTTGGAAATGCTGAGTTCCACCTATGTATTTACCCCACATGACTGGAAAACACTGTTGAAAATGGTTTTAACAACCACTCAGTACAGTGTTTGGTTACTAGACTATTGGGAGAGCTGTGCAGAGTATGTAAATGACCCAGGCAGCTCACAAACAGGCATGACATGTAATCATTTGACAGGAGAAGGGGAATACTCATCAACAAACTCACAAGTGAACTATCCCCGTGTGGGGGTAGGCAGCGGGCCTACCGTGCCCCTGTTGAAGGATATAGAGGAGGAGGATTTTGATTTAGACACCTTAAGGCCTTTCCCCTGAAGAAAAACAGGGGCCATAGAGAACTTGGGAAGGTGTCAGTCCTGACCACTGGGGAAGGAATGGAAACAATGAGTGAATAGCCAATTGTATGTGAGAGGTACTAATAAATTAGAGATAAGAAGTTAAAGATAGAAAGGCATGCAAGGCTCTGTGCTCAGTGTGTGTGTGTGTGTGTGTGTGTGAGAGAGAACTTTTAAGCTGTAAAATAAAGCAATAAATGCTGAATATCGGAGCATCATCATAAAAGTGCCCAGTTTTTATTTATTGGCCGTCCTCAACAATGACATCCCCGAGAGACATATGAAGTAATTGCAAAACTGGTTTTGAGAACGATAAGAAAGCTTCCAAGCATGGACAGAGACAGTAACCTGTAATTTACAAAGGTCCTGAAGGGATCAATAGAACCTTTTTCCCAATTTCTCAATAGGCTTCAAACAGCTTTAAACAGGTAAATAGAGCATGAAGAAGTTAGAGAGATGCTTTTTAGGCAGCTGGCATACGAAAATTAAAACCAAGACTGTAAAAGGGCTTGGCAAACCATCCCTAAAAGGGAAACCTGCACCATCGCCAAGATGGTTCGAGCATGCCAGGGTATCAGATCTATTGAACATCAAACTGCTTCTTTAGCAACAGTCTTAAGTGTGCAGCTGAGATTGCAGAATGGGGCAAGAACCAAAAACGGTTGCTACAGATGTGGTACTGATCATTTTCAAAAGGATTGCCCAGAGAAACCCCCCACAATATTATGCAAATGTCAGAAAAGGAAGAGGGAGTCAAAAAACTTTTCACAGCAGGGAAACTGGAGATGGGGAGAGAAGCTGGACACCCCGATCCAACAAATAAATACGGTTCAAGAAAACAGATTAGCAATCTACTCCCTGCCACCTCAGGCAGCGCTGGGCTGGACTTGGCCTCCAGAGAACCAGTAACCATAATATCTACTGCTGTAGTATTAATCCCTACAGGAGTATGGGGACCTTTAAGCCCAGGAGTCCATGCCCTCCTAATAGGATGGTGGTCAACTACCATGATGGGTTTGTTTGTTTTACCTGGAGTGATTGACTCAGACTCCCACAGTGAAATAAAAATAATGGTCTGGACTCCAATACCTTCCTGTCATATATCAGAAGGACAAAAGCTTGCCCAGCTAATTCCCTTTTACAACATGTCACCGTCTGGAGAGGGGGAGAGGGGCTTTGGAGCTTTTGGGAGTACAGGTGAACCACAAATATACTGGGTAAAGGTCATTTCTGCAACACAAAGATGATGTGTCAAATAGATGGATGCAGATTCACGGGTCTGGTGGACACAGGAGCAGACGTTACAATCATTAGAAACACTGAATGGCCAGCTGATTGGCCTACTGTTTACCATGCTTCGAATATCCAGGGGATTGGAGGCACACAAAGGCCTAGGCAAAGTGCTCAATTACGCACAGTGCTGGGGCCAGAGGGACAAGTTGCCAAAATAGCTCCTTTTCTTACTCCTATTCCATGCATACTATGGGGAAGGGATGTGCTGGGGCAGTTTGGCACAGTTATGCAAATTGCTTCTGCAGAAGAGCAGAATTTTCAGTGAGGGTCATTGACCAACCATTCCAAAAACCAATTAAGCTAAGCTGGAAAACCAATGACCCTATATGGGTTGATCAATGGCCCCTAAAAAATAAATGGTTTGCTCACTTAAGAGAATTAGTGAAAGAGCAACTCAATGCAGGACATATAGTGCAAACCTCCAGCCCGTGGAACACTCCAGTGTTCTGCATCCCCAAGAAAAGTGGCACGTGGAGAATGCTGCATGACTTAACAGCAGTCAACTCAGCAATAGAACCTATGGGAGCATTGCAGCCAGAACTTCCTTCACCTGCTATGCTTCCAACAGGACGGCTGTTAGTGATAATTGATTTGAAAGACTGTCCTCAACCATCATTTACCACTATATGGATGATATCTTAATTGCCACGGTCAATGAAACTGAGTTGCAAACTGTTGTTACTGCTCTAATGCTGTCCAAGAAGCAGGGTTGCAGGTTGCTCCAGAGAAGATCCAGCGATCACAACCCTGGACCTACCTTGAATGGAGGATCATGCAGCAGGAGATCTCACCACAGCCACTTCAGATTAAGGTAAAGGACACCATAACTTTAAACGAACTGAAGAAACTTTTAGGAGCTCTCAACTGGTTAAGGCCTATCTTAGTCTTAACCACAGTTGAACTGCATCCCCTGTTTGAACTGCTGAAAGGTAACCCAGACTTGACATCTACTCGGTCACTGACTGCAAAGGCAAAGCAGGTGTTAGAGGTATGTTCTAAGGCAATTGAGAGCACACAAGGCAGAAGGAGAAATCCTGAAGTACAGATTTGCCTTGCTCTAATCCCTAGCAGGTTCCAGCCATTTGCAGTTTTGTTTCAGTGGGACCAAACTGAACAGGATCCACTGAGGGTCCTAGAGTGGATGTTTCTGCCCCATTCACCACCTAAAACTGTGTGGGCAACTAACAAAAAGTCAAGCTTGTCATTAAAGGCAGAGGACGTCTACAAGAGCTGAACGGACAGGATCCTGCGATCATCTACATCTCAGCAAAAAAGGACAGCCATGACTGGCTGCTGGTCAAAGATGCTGGATTCCAAGCTGCCTTGGCAGGCTATGACAGTGACATTTCTATTCATTACCCTAAACACAGACTGTGGGCAGAAATGGGTAACTTGCCCTTAAAAGCCACACCCAGATGCAAACACCAGCCAGTAAAAGGCCTTACGGTCTTTACTGATGCATCAGGACGGTCCAAGAAAGCTGCGGTGACATGGGTAAACCCTGCTAAAGGACTGTGGGAACAAGAGGTACAGACCATGAACCATGGTTCTGTACAGGTTCTGGAATTAGCAGCTATTCCTATTGCCTTGGAACTGTTTTCAGAACAACCTGTTAATATTGTTATAGATTCTTGTTATGCTGCAGGTTTGGTTTCACGTCTCGAGGGTTCATTCCTTTGAGATGTTGCAAACCCACATTTACTTGTTGAAATACGTGCTGTATGGGTTCTTGTTAATCACAGGAAATTTGACTTTTATATCATACATGTCAGATCACACACGGGAATGCCAGGACCCATAGCAGAAGTGAACCAAAGGGCTGATGCAGCAACTATGTTTATAACAGTGCCTAGAATGTTAGAACGGGCTAAATTATCTCACTCTTTTTTCCACCAGAATGCATGTTCTTTGAAGAGACAATTTCAAATTACCATCAATCAGGCTCGAGACGTAGTTATGTCGTGTCCAGACTGCCAGCAAATAACTCCAATGCCATCCCAGGAAGGAGTTAACCCCAGGGGACTGATAGCAAATGAGGTATGGCAGACTGATGTTACACATATACCGGAGTTTGGTTGGCTGAAATACATACACGTCACAGTCGACACACACTCCAAGTATATAAATGCCACTGCACACACTGGGGAAAAAGCAAGGGACATAATAAGGCACTGGCTTAGCTGCTTTGCAACACTAGGGACCCAAAAAAAATTCAAACTGATAATGGCCCAGCATACACTTCAGCAAAGATAAAAACCTTCCTGACAGATTGGGGGATCTCTCACTCCACAGGCATCCCACATTTACCTATGGGACAAGCCATAGTAGAGAAGGCACTTAAAGGACATGTTAAAAAACAAACAAAAGGGGAGTCCATCTGTAGCCCACAGGAGCGTCTGTGGAAAGCAACATACGTCATAAATTTTTTAAATTGTGACAGTGCTGAGAAAAGCAGGTATGAGAGACAACATAGACCTCAGGCATTCTCCTCTCCCATGAAACAGAGCAGGATCCTGAAGGAGTTAACTCATAATGCATGATCTGAGTAAAAGAATTAAAAGAATCAAAAATCAAGGCTAGTGGAAAATAACACTTTGCCAAAAGGACAGGTGCACACTGACACAGAAGAACATAAAGACAGGAAAATAGGAATCATTAGAATGCTAACATACATACATGTGGGGTCTGGTTGCACCAGGTGCTGCAAAGCATCCTGGGAGTTGTAGTTCTAAGTACTCTTGTCACGCATGCTCTGTTGAATGCTTGTATGGGATTGGCTTAAGTTACCTGTGTGACGTGGCAGCGTTTGAAACTGCTATATAAGCTGGGACTCCTTGAATAAACTCTCTCGTTACACACCACGTTGGTGTCGCTATGGTCCCCATGGGACATATTATTTATTATATTAATAACTACTACATATGGCGCCCGGAACAGGGACCTAAGCCTTATCCTGAATCAGGAAGAAATACGGACCAGACGTCAGGTACCAGCCTATATTTAACGCTGAGGGACGTCCGCCGTGAAAAAGAAAGAAACGCCAGGTACCAGAGGAAAGGAAACTCTGATGGGCGTAGGCGGG